TTCACTCGTTCGCTTCGATTGTTTCTATATATTGCGCGCAAGTACACGGAGGAGATTTTCTCGACTTTGGTTTGTTGACTGGCGTTCACACCTCGACTTGCTCAGTCATACTGACGAGATCAACACTTTAAGAGACAAGACACACTTCGAGCAAGCAGAGAAGAAAAGAAAAGAAAAGAAAAACAAAAACGTAATGTTGAAGAGTTGCGATCATTGAGCAATCATGGAACATACAAGACAACAATATTCACCAGACAAGATACCGCATATAGATAGATATACCTATTACATGCATGTATTATGGAATCCGCGAACCACGCACACACACACACACACATCCCAAGAGAAACGGCCAATATGTTCATACGCTGTCTATCCGCCAAAAATACACTACAATATATATTCACGCTTATTGGACGCCGAATTGAATATATATTCTAGTGTATATTCGGTGTATTCTTCAGCGTGAAACATATTGAATCAATGAATGCATTCATGGCCAGAGGGCGCCTGAATATGTTTCAATATGTTTCACGCTGAAGACTACGCCGAAAATACACTAGATTATGTATCGAATTCGGCGTCCAATAAGCGTGAATATATATTGTAGTGTATTTTCGGCGGATTGACAGCGTATAAACATATTGGCCGTTTCTCTTGGGATATATATACACACAGACACACATACACCCATCTAAAACACATTCTGTTTTACTCTTCGACGACGACACTCTCTTGATTTATGTGGTTTTATAGGTGTGTGCGCGCGAGCAAGCGAGCGAACGAACGAGCGCTGGTTTATGTTACCATTGTTATTCTCTCGCGCGCTATGTATCAATGTACTGCTGCCAATAATCTTCAAATACCTTGAACACACCGAAGAGATGCTGACAAACACACACCACCATTTTATTCAATTAACCGAGTAAACGGTTTTCCTCGCAACTAACAACTTATTTGACATTCAGAACTAACTGTTTCTCGAGCAGAAAGTACACATTCATCATCAAATAATTGGGAAAAGTTAAATGCTTGAGAAGATATAGCGATTTGTACGCAAGAGCAATAAAATCGGGTTTGAAAGAAGAAATAAAAACAAACACACACTCGTTGGGAAAGGTTTGGAATGAGTCTGATTTTTTTTTGTCTTAATCTCGTGTTCAACTCTCTTTCACCAAGTTCGTGGTCTCAACCATGTTCCAGATTCAAAATGATTGTCCCCGTCGATCATTTTATGAAAGCTCATATTTTCACCAGAGCGGTTGCTTTTCCAAACCATTAATCCATCCAATGGGAAAACAAAGAATCAGTCAGCAAAATTACTTCAACACTTCAATACATTTTCATCAATTGAAAA